TGGCGGGCCCCCCGCTGCCGCACAGGAAGTGTCCCCCACGCCTGCCTGCCCTCCTGGGCCACCGAGTCTCAGTCCTGGAGAGGTGGCAGCCGTGGGAAGGGGCAGGGCCTGCTGCTGGGCTGCAGAGCTGGTCAGGACCTTCCAGAAGCCTCCGCCTGGGGCAGCGGCCATTTGTGTGCATCGGCCATCTCTAGTCAGCGGCTTCCGGAGGCAGCCACTGCCGCCTGGCCTCAGGGACAGGAACTGGCCCCGTCACCCGGCAGAACCGGGTCCCCTCAGACGCAGGAGCCCCACCCAGGCTGGAGCTGGGCCATCCTGCCCCCGCCCCCCGGGGACACCTGGCCAGGCCTGGGGACCTCACGACAGGTGGGAGCTCCTGCCTGGAGTGGGTGGAGGCCAGGAACAGGACCCCACCTGCCACCCAGAGAAGGACCCGTGGGGGTCCAGCATGAGCCTGGCTCAGGCGGAGACGGTCACTGTCAAACACAGATGGGCGGTGCCAGCCGGGTCCAGCCTGGGCCCCCCGTAAAAATAAACAAAATGAGGCCCAGCAGGCGTCAGCACCCTGTTCCCACCGAGCGGCGGAACCTGCTGTGAGCCGGGGACTGTGACTGTGATGCTCCGCGCCATCGCCGTGGGCGAGAGAAGTAGATCTAAAAAGTAAACATAGAGAGAGAGACGATAGAATGAAATAAAGGTGCTGTGTCCATCCACGACCCAAAACAAACAAAAGCCGTGCGCGGCCACCGGGCAGTGGAGGAGGCGGTGAGTCCCAGGGCAGCCTCAGCAACTTTAGTGAGACCCTGTCTTAAAATAGAATGAAGGACCAGGGATGTGGCTCAGTGACAGAGCACCCGGGCTCCGTCCCAGTACCTAAAAAAACGACAGTGACTGCATTCGGTGGGACACTGGGTGAGGACGCCCAGGCTGTCTTAGGGTCAGTCTGCGGTGCCCTTCTGCTTGGTACTGTGGTTTATTTGCCTTGTGGAGCCGGGGCAGGGCCGGCCTGCTAGGCTGGTGCCCACCACTGGGTGACCCAGCCCCGTGTCATTGTGGGGGGTGGAGCGACCGCCGTCTCCCGCCGTCTCCTGCCAGCAGCAGGCTCAGCTGAAGGGCCGCGGCTGGTCACCACCCATCCATGCCAGTGTGGGTGGCTTGCACAGGGGCAGTGGTGACTGGGCTCTGTGATGTTCGTGCAGTGACACGTCTCGGGGACACGTCCCTGTTGTGCAGGGACATGCCACCACCCTAGTATCATGCCTGGTTTACCTGTGGGCACAGGAGTCAGACCCCGCGGTGTGGCCCTGGGATTCCTGGGTCCTGTGGCCCTTGGTGGCCTTCCCAGCAGCCCGGTGAGCCCCCAGCAGGGGAGCGCGGCCCAGGGAGATGGAAATAGACTCCCTGCACCCCCTGGCTGGCCCCTGAGGGCCTCACCCTAGGAAGTCCGCAGCCTGGAGCTGCCAGCGGTCACCCACACCCTCAGGCGATGGGAAGGGTTAGGTAAATACTTTGGGGGGCTGGGGCTCAGTGGCAGCGCTCTCCTAGCGCCTCATTAAAAAAAAGGAGGCAGATGAGACACAGGGTGCTGCGTGCTGCCCACCTGCTGACCAAACAGACCCCAAACAGTGAATAAAAAAAGCATTAGAGACCAACACAGAAGCCGTGGAGGGCGCCGCCTTCCCTGTGGGGCTGGGGAGGATGGCCGCGTGCGCAGGGGCAGGGTTGGCAGAGGCCTCCCTGAGTGCCTGTCCCCGAAGTGTCCGGGGCCTTCATGAAGGTAGCTGCTTACAGTTCAGGGTAGACTGGTGGCTCTCCAGGAGGCAGTTGTGCCAGCCAGGGGACACGTGGCACTGTGGCACTGTCAGGGGACCCTCCTAGTGGTCACAGCTGCTGCGTCTAGTGGCTACACACCGGGGGCTGCTCAACACCCTCCCCTGCCCAGCACTGTCCTCCACCAAGGAGGTGCCCACTGCCCAAAGGAGGCCTTCCACAGCTGGCTCAGAGCCGGGCCCGGGGGAGGGGCCCGGGAGGCCTTCTGGATGCCCGGACCTCAAAGGCTGAGGTGGGGACACCCTGGGTGGACTGAGGGCCACAGGAAGGGGTCCCAGGAAGCAGTCCCCTGCCACTGGCTTTGTCATTCATGGAGCTGCATTTCTTTGTGTCTGGGACAGTCCAGTGCAGGCCGGAGTGGCCCGGAGTGGCTCTCCTCCAAACAGTGACTTGGGGTCCAGGCTCCTTCCAGGATTGTCTGTTTCCCTCCCTCCCCCTCCCCCCCCCCCCCCCTCCCCCCCCCCCCTTTTCTCTCTCTCTCTGTCTTTTTTTTTTTTTTTTTTGGTGCTGAACCCAGGGGCACTTTACCCCTGAGCTATATCCCCAGCCATTTTTACTTTTTATCCTGGGACAGGGTCTTCCTAAGTCGCCCAGGCTGACCTCACACTTCAGATCCTCCTGCCTTGGCCTCCCAATCACTGGCATTCCGGGTGTGCACTGCTGAGGCGGCCACGCTGACCTCTTGAGTCCTCTCAGAGGCCGATTTTAACGGACAGGACAGGGCTGGGCACCGTGGCGCACGCCTGTCATCCCGGCAGCACACGAGGCCGAGGCAGGAGGATCACGAGTTCAAAGCCAGCCTCAGCAACTGGGAGAGACACTGTCTCAAAGTAGCAAGAGCTGGTCCAGTGGTCAGCGTCCCTGGGTTCAACCCCTGGTACCAGAAAAAGAAAGAAACTGCAAACATTCCCACAAACCCTCGGGTCATGCCCAACACCCCTGCCCCAGGTCAAAAGCGGGCAGTGGGCTCTCGGTGTCCGGGAAGTGACCCTTAGGACCATCCCCAGTTCAGCCCCCGCAGAGGAGGCTGGAGGGGGTTGAGGACCTCCTGGTGCAGCTGGAGGGTCTCCCAGAGGGGGACACCTTGGCTTTAGGAAGGCACAAGTCAAAGCCCAGATCCAGGACAGGCCGGAGAGCCGCGGCCCGACCCGTGAACGAGCAGCCTTGAGGGAGGCCAAGCGCCAGCCTGGGGCCGGGCAGGGGGCATCGGAAGCTGGAAGGGGTGGAGGGGTGGGTCCTCCTCCTGCAGGACCCCAAGGGTGGCCCCCACGGAGGGAGCGCTGCGTGGGGTTCCAGCAAGAAGCCTCTGTGGCTGATCCTGGCAGGTGGCGGGAGATGAGGCGGGCCCCACCTGCCATCCCAACGAGGCAGGAGGACCCCAAGTTCAAGGCCAGACACAGCGACTTGGCCAGAACCTGTGTCAAAATGATAAAAGGCCTGGGTCCTAGCTCGGCGTCCCTGGGTACTGTCCCCGGTACCCTCCCCTCCCCTGCAGAAAGAATGGCCGTCCGCTGATTACTCCTGATGCCCAGCACCCAGAAATGAGGAGGAAGAGGGGTGCGGGGAGAAGGGGACAGGCCCGGCCCTCTCCTCCGTCCCTGCCGTACCTGGCCCTCGCAGGCCCAGGCGGCCGTGGGCACCCGCTGGCGATTTTGAGGGCAGGAATGAGGTGGCCGGGCTCGCGCTGTAGGAGGAGGCTCAGGTGCCCGTGACATCTGGACTTCAAGTTTGAAAGAAACTGCTTTTTGTCCCTTTTCTTTTCACTGCTGGGGAAGAAGGCGGAGCCCGTGCTTGCTGGGCAGGAGCCACCTGAGGATCTTCCTGGTTTCTTCGCGGTGCTGGGGATTGGGCCCAGGGTGCCCCGTGTGGCCTGCCAGCACGCCACCACCGAGCACACCAGCCCTGAGCGGCTTCCTTCACTTGTTCTGTTTAGTTATAGGGGACAGCGGGGTGCCTCTGGTCCCGACGGCGGTGCCTCTGGACGATCCTACAGACGGGGAGCTTGTGGTCGTACATGGTGTGGAATTTCCCTGGTCCTGTGTTCATATAAGAACCCTGGAAAGTGACTTCGTCCCCTGCATGTCACTGTTAGTGTTTCTCCCACCCCAGAACTTCCACCTCGCCCTCCCAGGCTCGCGTTAGCATCTGCATATCAGAGACTACATCCGGCCTGGCCTTCTCTTCCGGCCTCCGTAGCCTCAGGCCACCCCTTTACCTGCGGAAGTCCTAAAGTCATTCTGTTTTTTATGTTTATTTACTTGCTTTTCTAGGTGGTGCTGAGAATCAAACCCAGTGCCTCCTGCAGTGCCTCCCGCGTGCTAGGCCAGCCCTCGAGGCCCTTCCTGCGGCCTGTAGACGCCACGTGCTCCCTATTCCTTCATGGTTGAAGGGCACCTGGTTCCCTAAGCTCAGCTGCTGTGAGTTGAGCGGCTGTGAACCCTGATGTGGCCGTCACTGCAGCAGGCTGAGTTGAAGACCTCCGGGTAGGAGCCCAGCAGCAGGAGAGCTGCTCCGGTGGAGGTTCCGCTCCTGGTTCTGAGGAATCTCCACGCTGCTTTCCACAGTGGTGGCAGTTGGCAGTCCCACCAGCAGTGTAGGAATGTGACCTTGGGGCTGGGGCCGTGGCCCAGGGGTAGAGCACTTGCCGAGCACACGCGAGGCCCTGCGTTGGAATCTCAGCACCACGTGAAGATAAATATCGTGTCTGTTTACAACTAAAAAAATTTCTTTAAAAAGGTGGGCCTTTCCCGCACGTCCTCGCCACCATTTAATTCACGGTTCCTTGTGTTCTTGATAACTGCCATTCTGACTGGGCTGAGATGGAATCTCGAGGTGGTTTTAATCTGCATTTTTTAAATTGCTACAGATGATCGGAGGATCTTTCTTGAGAGGTGGGTGTTCCAACTGCAGGAAGGCAGGCCAAAGGTCGTGTCCCGCCAGGACCCATCAAGGAGTCACCCTGCAAGACAAAGGGCTCCTGGTGGCGGCTGGGTGGCCACACCTGTCCTCCCAGCGGCTCCGGAGGCTGAGGCTGGAGGATCACAAGTTCAAAGCCAGCCTCAGCCACTCAGTGAGACCCTGTTTCTAAATAAAATATATAAGAAAGGAGGGACTATGGCGCAGAGGTTAAGTGACCCTGGGTTCCGTCCCCAGTACAAAAAAAAAAAAAGAAAAACAAGACAAAGTCCCTGGTAGAGTCAGATAAGCTTTAGTATCTAGAAGTCTGGGCATGTGATCCAGTGGGTCCCGGCTCTCCGCCAAGGGAGAGCTGGCAGCTGGAAGACTCGGCGGGCATGCTGGTGATGACGATGGGCACCTTGGCCTTGACGCTGGCCAGAGACCAGGGCAGGTGCACGGTGACCACCAGCTCGTAGCTGGTCCGCATGATCTGGTCGTCCAGCAGGGCGCTGCTCACGGACAGCACGAGGGGCAGGCTGAAGGTGCTGACCACCGTGGTGCTGCTGAAGGCGGCGATCTGGGTGTTGGCCTCCTGCCGCAGCAGCTCATGGCTGTCCCCGCGCCACCGCCGCTCGGCCATGGGCGTGAAGCCCTCGTACTGCATGTGGGCGTAGAGGGCGAGGACCACCGTCCGGATGCACTTGCTGGTCTGGTTGTGGATCTCCGAGGTGAACACCACCTTCTCCCCCGGCATGAAGGTGTTCCTGTCCATCCGAATCTGCAGGCACACCCTGCCCCGCCGGCAGCAGTTGTAGGACACCTTCTTCTCGGTCTGCACAAACAGGGGGTCCTGCAGGGGGAGGGGAACGAGAGTGAGGGGCTGTGGCTGGGAGACCCACCGCCTGACCCACATCCGTCCCAAGAGCTCCTCGGTACTTCCGGGCTTTTGCACCCCCAAGCCTGCAGTCCTCTCCCAGCTTCCTGTGGTCGAGGCTCCTGACTAGTCTGAATATCAATGGCCTTATCTGCAAAACAGTCTGAAGAAATTCACAGAATCCCCCTCCCATTATTCTCTGGCTGTGTGACCTTGGATAAGTGGCTTGACTTCTCTGAGCATTGTTTTTTTTCTGGAAGACAGAGTAATATCTTACAGTCTAAGAGCAAGACCCTGGGCTTAGGCAAATATTTCAATGATATGCATTCACTAGGAACTCCATTTTGAATTTTAAATAGGGATCCCGCTCCCCACCCAAGCAAACATATTTTCTTGTGAGTGAGCTGCAGCTCCCAGGTGAACCCCACAGTTGTGAAGGGGAGCAGCCAACGTTGTACAGCGTGCCGTGTTGCTAACACGGGGTGCCTGGGTCAGCTACATCATATGCATTTTACAGTTAAGGATCTTTTCACCTTATGACCGGTTTATGGGGACAGGACCCTATCGCAAATGGAAGAACCAAGAACCGTCCATCTTGTTCATTTCCACGACAGCAACTGAGAACCCTGCAAAATGACCTGTCCCTCCATCCCCGACCCCCCTGCATCCCACAGGAGGGTTGTGTGGACCCCTGCGGGCACTCGCTGGCTCTGCGGCAGGGGCTGCTGGGAACCTCGCGGGCGCAGCACACAGCACGCACACGCACACTGGGTTTCACTGTTCATCTTTTCCTTTTCTTTGCTGGGATGGACCTGGGTCCTCACTGTCCTGGGCCAGCACTCCACCACGGCGCGCACCTGCTGTCTGTGACAGGTCCAAGGGCCTCCCGGGAAAGGCCTGGGACCAGACCTGGCTCCCGTCTGGGAGTGGGGGGATATCTGTGTTGAATTTACTTATTGAGTGTCTCTGATCTGAAAATCTGAAATGCTCCAAACATCCAAGACTTTTCGAGCACAGACAGGGCCTTCTGTTCCGGTGATTCCAATTCCATTCATTTGCAAAATGTTGGTGGCAATTCTCTAAACTCATTTTTCTGTTATTTTCTATTCTACTTATTCAATGCTATCATTCATTTTCTTTTCTTTTTTTTTTTTTGGTACCAGGGATTGAACTCAGGGGTGCTTGACCACTGAGCCACACCCCAGACCTTTTTATTTTTTATTTTGAGACAGGGTTCTCCCTAAGTTGCTGAGGCTGGCTCTGAGCTCAAGATCCTCCTGTCTCAATCGAACCCAGTGCCTCACACATGTAGGTAAGGGCTCCACCACTGACCCACAGCCCAGCCCTGGATTTCTTAAATCATGTTGGTTGCAACCCACCGAATTTATATATTCTGACATTTTCTTTTTTTTTTAATATTTTTTTATTTTTTAGTTTTCGGCGGACACAACATCTTTGTTTGTATGTGGTGTTGAGGATCGAACCCAGGCCGCACGCACGCCAGGCGAGCGCGCTACCGCTTGAGCCACATCCCCAGCCCATATTCTGACATTTTCTATTATTTTCTTTCATTAGAAAACAGTTAGGGGCTGGGGCTGGGGCTCACTGGCAGAGCACTTGTGAGGCCCTGGGTTTCATCCTCAGCACCACATAAAAATAAACAAATAAAAGAAAGGCATGATGTCCATCCATCCATCCAAACAAACAAACAACAACAACCCAGTGGGTTGCAGGGACTGTGGTGTGACTCCCTGGGAGAGCACCTGCCCAGGCTGCCTAGGCCCTGGCTTCCCGGCTTGAGACTGGGGACTGAGATTCTTGGGGGAGATCCATTGCAACACACCAGACTGATTTTTTTTTTTTTTTGTACTGGGGATTGAACTCAGGGCCCTCGACCACTGAGCCGCACCCCAGCCCTATTCTGAGTTTTTATTTAGAGACAGGTCTCACTGAGCGCCTCGCCCTAGCTGAGGCTGGCTTGGAACTCCATCCTCCTGCCTCAGACTCCTGACCCTGGATGACAGGCGTGCGCTACGGCACCCGGGCCTGCCTCAGCCTCTCAAGGACCTGGGACGACAGTCGTGTGCCACCACACCTGTCGTGTTCTTTTATTTTATAAAACATGGAGTTGGAAACCCACCCAGTCTCTCTCTCTGATCTGTCCTGAGTCCAGGCCGAGGTGCCTGCCTGTCACTACAGTGAGACGGCAAAGCGCAACCTCCTTGGGTCCTTCCACGGTTTGAAAAGTGCCACTCTGGGTCCACTGTTGTCCCTCTTGGGAACCTCAGGCTGACCCCTGACCCCTTCTGACCTCCCTTCCACCCGGGACCTCCGACCCCTGCCTGTCCTGCAGCCCTGGCCTCCTAAACCCCGGTCTCATGGAGAGTTTGTGCATGCGCATGCGCCAGGCCCCTGCAGAGCTTAGGAACCTGAGGCCCCAGGGGAAGCCTGCAGTACTGACCAGGGCCTGCAGGGGCCTCTTTTCAGTGCCCAGCACCATAAAAATTTAAAAAAAAAAGAAGAAAAAGTAGGAAGGAAGGCCCCGAGGGGAGGAGGGGAGGAGCAGTGCTCAGCGATGGGCAGCGCACTGGCCTCCTGACCCCCAGCCCTCCCTGGGTGATGACTTAGCTCTTGGTCTGCTGGCCCTCCTCCTGGGCCTGACCCCAAGCCTGCTGCCAGGAGTCCCTGTGGGTGGAGGGGGGTGTTTCCGTGGAACTGGGCACTTCCGGCTCCTGGACGTGCTGTTGCCCTGGGCCTTGTGGCTAATGGAGGGTCCACTGGCCGTGAGGCCCAACTTGTGTCCTCTTAGTTCCCATGGGCACCCAGAGAGGGCACAAGGCCTGCAGAAGGTCACCCCGGGAGACCCAGTGTGTCTCCAGACCTGAACTCAGGCTGCTGGCCCCAGGGCCCTTCCACACCTCTAGCCCTAACCCTCCTGGAGGCCCACCTCCCTGTGGGCTGCTCCAGAGAGTCTCTTTGTCACTCGGATAATCACACCATCAGGAGGGCCAGTCATCGCCCTGGGAATGACCTTGGAGGCAGCAGGGCCAGCCTGTTTCACCGAGGAGGAGACCAGGAGTGCCCGCAGGGCAGGGCAGCAGGAGGGGCCTGCCATCCACCCCCCCAGAGGATCTCCAGGGCCCACTCCCCCATGCCCTCGATGCTCTGATGACACAGAACTCCCTGCGGAGGAAGGTGACCTTGACCAATGTCATTCCACTGCCCCAGCTTCCCCTCTGCACCCGGCCTCAAAATGGGATTTGGGACAGCCTGGCCATCAGGTGACCACAGCTGCACTGTCCTTCCTTGTCCGGGGGCTGAAGCGCCTTCGTTTGCCTTTTAGGGACACCGGCTCTGTGTCTGAGGACTCAGATGATCGGGGGCCGCTGAGTCCGGCCTCTCCCCACCCAGAGGGTCTCTGGGGCTTTTGCTGGGTTGAGTTCCGGGGCCCCCAGCCCGCTGTGGCTTTCTCTGGGTGGTGTCCTGGGCACTGCAGGGAGCTGGGCAGCGCCCCTGGCCTCCCCTGGCTCCGTGCCTGGACTCCCCTCACGACACCCACCAGTGTCCCCCAAAGCCCACTGTCCCCTGACCGGCCACACTGCCCTCTCTCTTCCTTTCCTTTTTTGTAGACAGACACAACACCTCTATAGGTTTTTATGTGGTGCTGAGGGTCGAACCCAGGGCCTCGCACGTGCTAGGCCACCAGGCCACCCCTGGGCCACCACGCCAGTCCCTCCTCTTTTCCTTTAAAGGCCACTGTTGACTTCTGGGGTTCTGGGGGCCATCCCTGGCCTCTTATCCCCCTGTACTGCCATGACAACCCAGTGTGTCTCCAGACATGCTCAAGTGTCCCCGGGGAGGAGAATCACCCTGGCTTAGTTCCTGGCCTGGTTGGTGGCCACCTTTTGTGAGTCCTCTGGGCTGGGCAGCTGCTGGCACCCTGGCAGCTCCCGTGGGCCTCGCTCCCCCACCGCCCCAACGCCCCCTCGGCACCTGGAACGACTGATCTGGGTGGAAGTCCGACGTCCCTTGAATCAACAAGTATGTCCTCTTCTTGGCCAGGATGTGCTCGCAGCCCATGCAGGAGGCTTGGATGAAGTAGGAGATGTGGCCGGTTTTGCTGGAGAAGGTGGAGGGCAGCCTGGGAGGTAAGTTGAAATGGAAGTCAAAGGTGTGGCTGCCTGCGCTTAACCAATTATCTGAAAGCAAAACACACCGAGGCCATCAGAAGGTTCTAGAATCTTTTTCTTCTTCTTTTCTTCATTTTTTTCCCCCATTATTTAGTGTTTGGACAGGGAGGTGCAGGTTCTGGGGATGGCTCCTCTGTCCTGAGCTAGTACCTTCAAGGACCTCCTCTGTCGGCCCATAAACAGTCGTCCCTGACTGGATTGGAGAGGGACATGGCTGGCATGGTCACCCCAAAGTATTGATGTGGACGTGCACACCCCAGCTCTGGGCTTGAGAGAGCGGAGGTTGGGCCTGGACATGGTGGTGAGGGCCTGTCATCCCAGCAACTCGGGAGGCTGAGGCAGGAGGACACAAGTGAGGCCAGCCTTAGCAATTCAGGAAGGACTTGTCTCAGAAATAAAAAGAGCTGGGGATGTAGCTCAGTCAGTGGTAGAAGGCTTGCCTAGGTAGGACCCTGGATTCCATCGATACTGAAAAAAAAGAAAGTAAGTGGAGTTTGGACCCTCAGGATTCAGCTAAGATGTGCTGAGCACCTACTGTATGCCAGAGACGGTTTTAGGCAGTGTGTATATGGCAGGGGGCAGGAGGGATAAAACTCCTTGCCTTCAGTGAGCTTGACCTGCAGTGCCTGGTATACAGTAGGAGCTTAAATTTTGATTTTGTGTTTTGGAGCTGAGAGTGGAACCCAGGCCTCATGTGGCCACGCACATGGTCTGAACACCAAGCTCTGCCCTCAGCCCAGTGTCTGCTGAGGAGGGGGGCGCGGGTGCAGGGCCCTCTCCGCCGTCCCTTTTCTATGAACTTCCTGTTTCTTCCTTCTCCGTCTCTCCCCAGCCTGCTTGTCATGGCCGGTCGCCACAGCAGACACAAAGGCCTGAAGTTCCCAGAGACCTATCTGCTGCATCAGATGCAGGGGCCCTGCTCTGGAGCTTGGCACAGATGGACGTCTGTTCAGCACGGGCTTCAGGTCGGTGCTCGGGAGGGCAGTCCAGTGGCTTGGAAATGTGGAGAGGTGGCGTGGGATGTTGGGGTCTTCCAGAGAAGGAAGCGCTTCTGTCCTGTCTGAACACTAGTCACGCTCTGTACTACGCCTGGCGCTTTTTATTTTTCAGTTGATGATTGAGCCCAGGGCGCTCTCCTGCAGAGCTACACCTCCAGCCCTTTTTATTTTATTTTGAGACGGGGTCTCATTCGGTTGCCCGGGCTCTAATTTGCAATCCTCCTGCCTCAGCCTCTGAGTCGCTGGGCTAGGTGTCCCCACTGCTCCTGGCCTGGTGGTCTCTCTTCTGCCTGGCTCCTCCGAGGGTGGAAACTGCTTATCCCCAGTCCCGCTAGGGGTGGTCGGTCGACTGTCTTGACCTTCAGACCCCAGGTCCCACTGGCCTCGGCCGCCTCTCCTTACCCTGCACCGGGAACGTCTTCGTCTTGTGCACGTAGTCGGCCTTATTGTTGCAGATGACCTCTCTGCTGTAATCACGGGAGGCCCCGATCTCCTCGTTCCACTCGACGTAGCCCCTCCCCACGAGCTCCACCTTCACCACGGGGTCCACCAGGGTGCTGTTCAGGGTGAGGATCACCTGCCCCTTTAGGTTGGAGCCAGCCAGGTACACTGCATCCTTGGGCAGCACTAACTCGATGGACCTCACCATAGACATGGGGGTTGGGGTGGCGGGGAAACATCTTTCCCCTCCCCCAGGCCACCAAGGTTCCGGGTTCCTTGTCTATAGTGACATCGTTTGTCTATGACATCCCTGGGCTCACAGCTCCAGGAAGGGAGAGCCAGAGGCCAGGAGGGAAGGCCTAGGGCCTCCTTCCTGCTCCCCAAACCACTGTGCGTCCCGTGTGAGCAGTGGCTCAGGAACTGGGTGACCCTCGTGGGTAGCCTGACCGTTTTCCCTCAGGAATAACCAAGACCCAAACCCTCAAAGTCAAGAGGCCACTGTCCCTGCTGCATAGAGAGTGCCTGTCGTCCACCCGGAAGTCGGGGGCTTGTGGGGAAGGATCTTTCCAGCCACGCTGGTGCCGAAGACATCCTGGGCTCCCTTCACAGGTGGAAGGAGAGGCCCAGAGAGGCCTGAAGGCATCTGCCGTCCTACCAGGTGTCCCCAGGTTCGGTGCCACATTTGATCATTTTCCTGTTGAAGGCTCTTCATTATCTGGTCTGTATTGGAAAAAAAGTTATAGATGGGGACAGGACACGGCATCTGATGGGTACTGCAGACGCTCAGGTCCCCTGGACTCACCCTGGACACCCAGACCACCTGGAACCTGTCCTCTCGCATGACTGACATTTCTCCTTAAACCTGCTCTCCCCACTGGGTAAGTCCCTTCAGAGGGAGGCTGTGTCAGGGAGGTTCGTGCCCACCAACGTGTGCCCGACCCAGATCAGCAAGGCTAATGGTAGTGTCAATAAAAGTTTGTTGAGTGACTCAATAGCCTCTGAGAGTCTGTTTGCACGTGGGCTGGTGCCTCAGCAGGGAGGGACGTTGAAGCAGGATGCTAGCCTGTACCCACAGTCCAGACTGACAGGCCTCGCTTTCTTTGCTATAGTTTGCTTTATTTTATGTGACAGCTTTTGGGGACACTGACACCTGCCTATTAGTTTGTGAATTTTTTTTTTTTTTGGTACCAGGGATTGAACTCAGGGGCACTAGACCACTGAGCCCCATCACAAGCCTTATTTTGAATTTTATTAGAGACAGGGTCTCACTGAGTTGCTCAGTGCCACGCTTTTGCTGAGGCTGGCCTTGAACTTGTGATGCTCATGTCTCAGCCTCCTGAGCCACTGGGATTACAGGTGTGTGCCACCGCACCCCACATGGTTTGTGAACTTCTTTTTGAGATGCCTGGAGTAGTTGTTTGGTGTTTCTGAGTTATTAAACTCAGCAGTTATGCACTTGAGCTAATATGATGGATTTTGACATTCTCAAAATGATTATGGAATTCGAGTCCTGTATGACCATGCAGAGAAAGGTGGATGCCTCTTTCTGGGTTAACTTCAGATGACCAAGGTGCCTGGCCCATCCCCTGCACCAAGTGTCCATCAGGAATACTCCCCCTTCCAGGTGTTTCTGCAAGGGCAGGTACACTTGGAGGCCGGGTCTCATGGAATAGACCAGGATCTTTTGGAAGATCCTTTGTGCCTCACAAACCTGGGCAGGTGTGCTTGATCACTGCTCACACCTGTGGTATGATCAACATATGGTTGATGGCCAAGGATCCAAAATTGGGTTCAGTGGCAGTGAGCGAGTCTCGAAGTTGGAGATAGTGAACAGCAACCTCTGGACTATACATATTAGATTGTATGAGTTTCCTATGGCTGCTGTAACAAAAGGTCAATAATGCAGTGGCTTGAAACCACATAGTTTATTTTCTAACAGTTCTGGAGGTCAGAGGTCCAAAATGAGTCTTAGTCTAGAATCAAGGTATTGCTGGGGCTGTGTTCTAGCAAAGAACCCTTGCCCTTTGCAGCTTCTGAAACACCCCATGCCTTGCCTCTAGTCCCCCTGATTCTCACCTGCTTCTAGTATCCTATCTTCTCTGACTTGGGCTTTGCGGCCTCCCTCTTCCACACATTAGGACCCTTACAATGGTATGGCATTCAGCTGGATCATCCCAGGTAACCTCCCCATCTCAAAATCCTTATGTGGCTAGGACCCTTTTGCTGCCAGAGGCACTACATTCACAGATTCTCAGGGGGAGGATGTGGACCTCTTCAGGGCCCCGGCTCTGTCTAACAGTGGAAGTAGCTCTGGCAGAATGGAAGTTCTGCACTGCTACAAAAATCTTATACAAATGAAACATGAAACTCAACTTCTTTCTGCTCGCAGATCTCCTGTGCTACTCTGCTGTAAGAGAAAGACTGAATGCCTCCAGGGGCCTTGGAGGTCTTCCCGGCCACCCCTCTGACCTCATCTGGGCCCCCCTCCCTGCCTCAGCCTGTTGGGTGCTCCTAGGGCCTCCTTCCTGCTCCCCAAACCACTGTGGTGGTTCCATCTGCCCTTGGATCTCATCTGCTCAGAGACCACAGCCTTTACCCTGAACCCAGATCCTTCTCCCTGGCCCCCTCGTGGCTGCTGGTGGCTCCCAGCTTCTGTGGACTCTCCTCGCTTCACGGCCCTTGGTGCAAACCCAGATTCACTATGCAGGTCTTGCCGTGTTCCCTGACAGGAATGTACTGTCCCCCAGACCTGAGACCACCAACTGGGAGTATGCCTTGCCCAGCATGGAGCACCCTGTCCACTTACTGGGTGGGTGCCCAGCACAGGTCACTTCTGTGTCTGCTATCAGTGGCCAGAGTGGAGCAGGCCAGGCGGAGGGGGCAGGGCAGCCCTGCCCGCCTGGACAGCCAAGAGAAGGCGGGAAAACCAAGCGGAAGAACCAGCGAACAAGCCCTGCGGGTGGTTAGGGTGGGGGCGGCGGCAGGTCCTGACGCAAGGCAGTGGGGCTGTCATGGGGTGCAGCCATGGGGTATAGGCTGTCTCCTGGGAATCCTCACATTCTTCTGCAGTGTAGATATTGATTCCGGCCTTCTTAGCTCTACTGGTCAATGTGTGTCCAGGGGAAGGGGGCTATGGCAAGGCAATGGACTTAGTAGATCAGCGGGTCTCTATCCTGGGGGTTCCACTCCTGGGAGGGAGTCCCCCTTGGGCTCCTCTGGACAGGACACACATGGCGGGGAGGCCTGGGTCCTGCCACAGGGCCCCTCTGGCGCACTGGGCGCGCCCTTAAGAGAGCGAAGGGCAGGGCGGGGCCGTGGCCAGCTGGGCGGAGTTAAGGAGGGCGGATCAAGGCAAAGGGGGGCGCCCCCCACCCCCTTTCTTGCTTCCCGCCACTGTGGCGGCCAATCAGGAGGCAGGCACCCGCCCCCCAGCACAGCCTCCGGCAACTCCCAAACGCCAGTTTTCGCGGGAAAAAAATCAGAGCAGCTGGCAGCGCGGTGGGCAGCGTTGGCCGAGTGGGCACTCCGGGTACCACGTAGGTCCGCGCGGGATCCGAGCCACGCACGCAGCTCCATCGCCATCCCCAGCCGGGTCAAGCGCGCAGGCGGGAGAGTGGATCACGGCAGCCAGAGAGGTGAGCTGCAGGGCGGATCCGGGTGCCAGCCCGGGCCAGGCGCACTGGGTGCTCCGGGCTCGGGGACTTTGCAGAACTTTCGTGCGTGGGCCGGGACGCGCGGCCAGCATGGGCTCATTCATGCCCGCATGGGGGCTGCCCTGCACGCGGTCCCGCGATCCAAACGCTTTACCCACGCCTCACCCGGTACACTGGCTTGGGCGGGGGCGAGCAGCAAGTTGTGGAGCTGGGCGGGGGTCGCGCGGGCAGGGTGGGGGAGGGCCCGGTGAGCCGCCCGGGAGGATGTCAGTCTCCGCGCCTGCGCGCGGGGCGCCCCGCGATTCAATTGTCGCGCCCGAGCCTGATTTCGCGCGCCCTGAGTTCCCCGGGTGCGTCAGGACCAATAGGGAGCGAGCGGGGCGGGGCGACCGGGTGCGGCGGAGCCAATAAGAGGCAGCTCAAGTGAAGGGGGGAGGGACTTGGCGAGAGGGGCCCCTCGGTCCGTCCGGGCGGTGGGGGTGGGCGTGGGTTTTCTGGCGCGACCCGCGCGGCGCGGGCAGAGTGCCAGAGGGTCGCTGGGGCAGCGCTTCGGGAGTCCGGGGGGCGCAGGCCGCCGCGGGGCCAAGGTGAGTCGCCCCGCGCGCGCGGGGGCGGCCGGGACGGGGCGGCCGGTTGCCATGGCCACGGCGGGGCTGGCCGCGCACGCGCGCGGGGGGCACCAAGGGGTCCCGGGACTCGGGGGTCGCGGGTGGGGTCCTGCCTCCTCGGTCCCACTTAGTGGAGTTGTCCCGGGACTTCACAACTTGCGACCCACTCCGGACTTTGGGAAGTCCCCCTTGTGTAGACACGAATCCCGGGAATGAATGAACGAGCCGGCGCAGTCACTCGGGGTGGCTGCGCGCGCTGGCCCGGGCCCCCCCCAAGCCCCGGATCTGGTTTTGCTGTGAACGGATGGTGGGCTGCGCTGGATGGCCTGAGATCTCGTTTCCCTCCCTGCTCAATCCTCAACACTTGCTGGTCATTAAGACACAGTCCTTAATTTACTTTGCCTGGCCCTGGTTGAGACTTGGCAGTCCACCGGGACCAGGAGGTCTGGAGGACATTCTGGGAGTTTCATACTGTCCACCAACTGGACAGAAGTAACCATGATCCCAGTATAGCCTGACATGGCCTGGTGGCACAACTGACCCCCCGTCCTGCTTTCTTTTCCTCCATCAGCGCTGACACCATGTGGGTCCAGGTGCGCACCATGGACGGGAAGGAGACCCACACTGTGAACTCACTGTCCAGGCTGACCAAGGTGGAGGAGCTGAGGCGGAAGATTCAAGAGGTGTTTCACGTGGAGCCAGGCCTGCAGAGGCTGTTTTATAGGGGCAAGCAGGTAAGCCAGCCGGCAGGCTGCCTGCTGGCCCACCTTTGTTCTTGCTGGTCTAGGCACCCCGCCTCTGCCGCCACCAGCAGATACAGTCTCCCCCCGCCCTGGTCCCGCTTCACGTCTCCCGGAAGAAGTCTTACAGAAACCTCAGATGCCTGTGAGGGGAAGGAACAAAGGCCGGACTCGCACGTTGACACACTAGGCAGGCAGCTGGCACTTGAATTTATAGCATCTGGGCTTTCAAACTCTTCTTTTTTTTAAGGCTCCCCTCAAGATATTTTCTAGAGCAAGAAGTTGGAGGTGACCCACAGCTTTGGAATTTTGAAGAAGGGCCTAGATGCAGGAGGCAGTTAGGACAAAAGGGACCAGGTTTTTCTTCTAAAACATCCTGATGGCCCGCAGCTTGCACCCGGGCCATTAATTGGCAGACCCCGAGAGTGTTTCCTAGAAATCTGGATGAGCTTATTCAAAGTCCAGAGATGGTGCTTTCTAATCAGGAATTTCCACCACTCCGGGCTGACCGGGTGGTCTCTGCGGGGGTCTCCTTGTCTCCTTTCCGAGGGCTCTCTTCCCAGTCCCTGGTAGCATTTAAAGTGGCCATCTTCCTGCAAGCAGCTGCCTTCGTTTGGGAAGGCTTTCTGTTGGCACCTGGGGGTTTCTGCTTTGATTGGTGTCTTGGGGCACAACGGGCCGGCCATGACTGAGGTGGCAGGTGGGATACAAAGGTATGCTAGGAGGCACAGGTCCATCTGCTGGGCTGCCTGCAGTTGCTGGACTGAGGTGACGGGGCTGCGAGGCCACTGAAGTGGGTGGAAGTCAGTGGGCGCTGTGGGCCCTGCGTGTGGGAGTTTGGGCTGGAGGCTGCTGCCATCTGCTGTCTAGATTGGAAACACTCGCTGCGGCAGGCCAGGCGTCCTGGGGCCGGGAGGCCTGCTTATGGGATGTGGTGATGTTATTGGGCTTTTGGCGCCCTAGGAGGCCCAGGTTGGCCTCCTTCCTGCTGGAGGCTGGGTGGTGACGTGAGTGTTCTAGGAGACATGTTAACAGTCCCACCCAGGGAGGAGAGCAGACCCTGAGGACGCGGGTTGACGGGCTGCCATGTGCGCGGGAGGCCATGTGCGCGGGAGGTCCCTTCCCAGGCGAGCCCCTGGCTCTCCCTCTGCCCCTTCTCTTCCCGGTGGCTGCGTTTCGTGGCAGGACTGTGTGGTTTGAGCACGATGTCTCTGATTTCACAAGACTCTCTGGAGACCTGTGTGTGCCTCAGTGTGTGGCAGCTGGACCGTGAGTGTGGGACGCGGAGGTGGACGAGCGCCTGCTCTTTGTCAGGCTCCAAGCTCGGAGGAGATGGAGGAGCCTGGACTCCGAAGAACCGCCGCGTGGGCTTCACTGTGGCGGTCGCTTCATCCCGCGGCTCTCTGGGTCCCTGCCTACGGGCCCAGCTTGTTGTTGGGACCTATTTCAAAGTCACTTGCAGCCTCCTGCCCGTCAACCCCCAACTTCACATCCGGCAGCCACTAGAGTCCAGTATTTGTGCTCTGTTGTCCTCTCCTTTCCCTGTTGGGCCGCATTTGTCGCGGCGGGATCCCGGTGCAGCCAGACGGTTGACATCCCGCCAGGCAGAGCCATCTCCCTCCATTTGTAATGTGAAACCTGATCCGCGCCACTGTGGCGCTGTGTGGTCACACACCCCTGGCTGCTGCCTGTGATGGAGATGTGGGCTCCCAGGACGCCTGGCCGTGGCCACCCCAGCCTGGCGGGGGCCGGACCCTCCCGGAACCTCGAGGTTGTGGCCTGTGCTGCTTCTCAGGGCCGCTCTGCTAGTTGGGGAAGGTCCCTGTGCAGCGCCAGCAGCCACTCCTGTCCCTGTCCAGGGCTCGTCCCCTGCGGTGGTGGCTTTGTTTTCGCGGCAGGGAGGTCAAGCCTCAGCAGTGATGCGGCTTCCCAGGTTACGCCAGGTGCAGGGAGGGTGCACGGGACAGGAGGTGGGACAGAGGTCCGTGGCAGTAACCAGTGGAAGGAGTGAGAGAGGCCGGCCCTTCTCCTCGCGGTGGCAGGTGGCTTTTCTCGGCCTCACACCCTTCCTTTGGGGCTGAGGCCAGGGCCTGGCACATGCCAGCTCCACGCCGCCAGCCTACGCCCCGCCCTTTTCCACTTTCTCTCCTTTTTCTTTTCTTAAAGAGACATGGCATGGCAGCAGGAGGCCCGCTGTGAGGGTGGGGGACTGGAGCAGAGCCCACCAGCTTCAGGGCGCTGGCAGCGGGGATGGCCTGGTGGTCCCCTCTGGGCTGGAGGGCAGCCGTAAGGTCGCTTCATTGGCAAAAACCTAGGACCCGCTGCCCGCTGTGCTCACGGGGACTTTGGGGAGGCCAGCTTGGGCCTGGGAGAGGCATCTGGCCGTGTGGGTCTTTTTTTTTTTTTAATGTCCATAAAAATAACAATAGCGGTCATCAGGGGCGCCCAGGCCTGCTCAGGTAGTGCCTGCGTTTCACCTCGTCTTCTCAAAGCCCCGGCCACTCCTCACTTTCCATGTTCCCTTTTACAAACGTGGCCGCTGTGGCCCTCCGCGTGGCAGCCTATGGACACTCCATGTGGTGGCCGGTTGACCGAGCCTGGCTCACGGGAGTAGCCCTGAGAGCCATTAGCTCAGGGCTCCACCGCACAAGGACATCGGAGCATTTCCGGGCGGCTTGGGCACAATGTCGCTCTCTGGGGGGCGGCTTGGGCACTGCAGGTGCTGAGCCTGTCCCTGGCCTCCACTGCTCCAGGCTGGGAACGCCCCCAATTGTGACAGTATCATCCCAGGGCTCCTGGGGGCAGAATGGCCCAGCTGAAAACTGCTGATTTAGTACATCATTTGCTTTAGGAAAAGAGCCATTTCTGTCACCAGGCAGCCTTCAAGGCCACATGAAGTCAATGTGACAGGTCACTCAAGATGGAGTGGGGAGTGTGCACGGGGACAGGAGGTGGGCAGAGGTCTGTGGCAGTAACCCAGCGGAACCCTAGTGAGAGAAGCCAGCCCCCCTGGCCGTGGTAGAGCGCTAGCCCTCGGAAGACGGACTTGAGGGGACTGTCCCAGTGCTGCTGCAGCCGGCCTGGCTCCTGTCTCCTCTCCCGGGAGGGTCAGGTGTGACAGCCCCTCTGAGACAGAGGCCCGTCCCTGAGGCTGAGCCTCTCTGGGGGCTCGTCCCCTCAGCCAGGGCCTGTGGAGTGTGGGAGTGTAAGTGGGGTGACCTGTGGGCGGCCTCTGCTGACCCTGCACCGCATGCAGAAGCTGCCCTGGACCATCCGCCATGAGAGGGCACGGGTGCGTCCAGCCCCGAGAGCAGCCCACTGCCCCGCGCCCGCGGCCCGTGGTGGAGGCGAGAGGGCTGCGGGAGCCTAGCAGTTCAAGGCCAGTCTGCGCAGCACGGTGAGACCTGTCCCCAAAACCCAAGGACCCGCTTCACGGTGTGTCCAGATGGGCCCTGCGGGCCTCCCGGCACTGCCCCCAGGCCTCTGCGCTGTGGCCCCCGGGAGGAGCCGGGCCGGAGCGGGCCCAGGCTGCTGTGCGGGAGGAGCTCGCCAGGGCGGGGCTCTCGGGCGCCTGGCCTGGGTCCCCCGAGGCCCCCGGCTGACCGAGGAGCCCCGAGAGCTTTGGTGTCTGCGGATCCTGTCGGTGCTGAGACCCTGCAAGCCGAGGAATGCCAGGGCTGGACGCACACGGGCGTTTCCTCGCACTGTCCCTCGTGCCTGCCTCCTAATGAGCTGGACATTCCTTGGTCCTCAGGAGGCCATCACGCATGGCAGTCACTGGCATCTGGACACCTCTGTGCTAGTCCTCTGGGCCTTGTCCCCACGGTGACCCCCAGGGCATGGCCTCGCCCTGCCTGCCTCAGGAGGGGCTGAGTTCGTTGTCATCAGGGGCCATCCTTGTGTCCAGCATGTGCCTGTCCCTGAGGTGTGTGCTGTCCCCTCTGCCCTGCAGGACCTTCCTGTTGGTGTCTCCTGCCTCCCGCCCAGCCCTCTGTCCACAGGTCAGGCTGCTACAGGACCTGCAGCCCCTCCTGGCCAGGCTGGTGGGACACTGGGGGCCAGAGCAGTCCCTGCTGGTTCTTACCCCTAGGTCCAGCCTCTTGGCCCTTTCAGATGCTTCCTTCTCAGATGCAAGGTCCCCCTTGGCCCAAAACTCATGGTTTCTGTCCCCTCCACTCCTCCCCGAATCCCCGTGTCTGGGCCCCCGGAGGATGGCCACTTAGTCTATTCCTGGCCTGTAGGGCAGCATCTGCAGTCCAGGGACCCCTGGGAGGGGCGCAGGTGGGAGTGGGCGGCAGCGCACAGGCCTTCGACCCTGCTTCTTCTCTTTAGTTACAACTTTAAAGTCACCTCTGCTGACTCGGATGAACCCGGGGACCGCGCCTTAGGGTCGCCAGGTGGTGCGTGGGCATGGGCGTTGGCATCGGGTGGACGTGTCTGCCTCCTCCACGTGACTTCTCCATGGAGGTGACTCCCTTCTCCTAAGGAGCCGGCAGCTGTGGACAGTCATGTGCTGGTGACGAGTCCTCCGACAACAGGTCCCTGAGGTAGCGTAGTGGGACCTGCGATGGCATGCAGCTGTCTCAGACCTGGAGCACACAAGGGTCCTTTGCCGTCACAGGGCCCAGGGAGCAGACGCTGTCTGGGACCATGATCCCCGGCTGTGCCTGGCCCCTCCTGGAGCTGTGGGGCGTCTGCAGGGAGGCCACCTGGCGGGCGCCTGGGTCACCGATTCTCCTGTCCGCTGGTCTGCATGTGCACCAGCCCCCTGCCCTGGTGGCCTCGTGGGTGTACCATGTGTCTATGTGACGCTCCTAGGCTTCTTGATTGTTCTTTCTTTTTTTTTGCCCCTAAATGCAGGGTTGCCATGGCTGCCCTGGGCAGATGTCACTACCTGATTGAGCAGAGTGACAGGCTAAGGGCCTTAGGACAGAAGTCAGGGCACAGCTGCTTTTTATTTTTGTTTTTAAAATTTTTTGGTCCTAGGGGTTAAG